CACTATGCAAACGTCAGTACAGTTGAATAGGTTTTGAACTCCTAACCATTTGGTTAAAAGTGGGCTATGTTGTCCGATAAGTCAGAAACTCTTTACTCTAAATGATACTCGTTGATATTAGAGAAGCCACGTTACGGTCATTGTTTCGAACCCCGCTCAGCCAACCAAAGCTTAGACAGCCAGATAGTACCACTAGCCCTCACACAATCTGTGTGGCTCATTGTCAACTGCATGGAATTTCGATTGGTTGTTGAATAACATTGCATATTATAACAAAAAATAGGGAGCAGCAAAAGTGCCACACGATAAGTGGGTGTTTGTACCCAGTAACCGAAAGAAATACAGTCGTTTTGCTTTGAGCTGCAGCTATCTAATAAGATGCTTGATGTGTATAACTTCTTTAAGCGTATTTAGTCTGGATAGTAAAGATTGTTGAAACCCAGTGTGTGCTCTGTTTTAGAAATATGTTTGTGTATCAGTTTATCTCCCCAATCTATCAATATGTGATAGTGAAGTTATGTGCTCCTTTGTAGCCATTGGATAATGCATGTCATATCTCTGTGTTACTTTAAGAACACAATAGGGATTAAGACTCTGTAGTAAACGTAGAGCCTTTGGTAGATGTAATAATGATACTAGTCATAATTTTCAAAAGTTGGTTTACTAGGGATTTGATTGATTTTAAGTTACATCGCGCTAACTGATATTAGTTAGAAAACCCACTGAAAACCATGGGAGTGCCGAACATTTGTTTCATCCTAGTTGGGGGCTCATCAATAGTGCGCACAGAACACAGAACTTCCAAGTTACGAGACAAAATGTTGACCATTCATCCACTGGGACAATTTGTCAATTCACAATATATTGCACCATGATCAGCCAGTGTTAATAGCTATTACCTATCCTCACACCCGACCTGATAGACTAAACTTTTCACTGGAACCCCAGCCTCTCTATCCTATAGTCAGTGATGGGTGTCTATTCGTGATATAACTCGGAATGATAGTAATCAGTAATGTAAGTCAGCAGTGCAATACAAATTTATGTAGTGAACCGTGGGATTCACAAGGTGTTTGACAGCTTATACTACTATTAGGTTTACTTGTTCGAAGTTTATAGAGTGATACAAACCTGAGACTAAAAGTTGATTGCTCAGACTGACCGCTGATATCTCTACTCGTACCATCGATTCGCTTGTTTTTAACCGTATGTGTTCCGACTAATCTATTGCATGTTTTCTTTCGCTCCTTAGCGAAATATAAATGTGTGTTGATAACTGCCTCAATGTGTGCATATACTAAATTATGAGGTGAAATTATTTTTCGATTGCAAAACATACTACTTATTTGTTTAGGCCGAAGTGTGTATTTGAAATCTATTGCCTGTTTGTCCGAATCCTATGGTGGTGACTTAAGTTCTTGTTTTACGTTCAACCGCTGCTTATTATCTTTTTTCTGTATTTGTATGTTCGTCATGGCTATTATGTAATAAATTAAGATGAAAGTTACCTAAGCCAGTGCTTCATCGATCAAATCACTATCACACTGCATCTATGTGTTTTTTCAGTATGTACCCTACATATCTGTTGTGCACTGAAAAACAAGCGCAATCCACGAAATGGCAATGTATATTTTTCCTACCTTACTTATTCTCTCCTTTATCTGTCTATCCTAAAAAAGTTATGGTTTGGAGTTTTTGTATGTTTACATTCACATGAATGAAAGTAATGGAAGAAATTACTATTTGTGAAGCGAAGATGTGGTACTTTATTTTTCATCTTACCATATGTATATTGGCAAACTCTCTTCTACATGATAGGGCTGAGTAAGGTTGGACATCACTTAGTATGTTGATCATACTAAAGCCAATTTACTTGACTTTTTTAACGTTTAAGTGGAAAACATGTAGACACATTGAAACTGAGGTTCTAACTTAAAATGGTGCATGAAATTGCAGTTGTTCAAGTTGTCACTCTCCATATAGCACACAAGGGAAGAGAAGAAAATCAAAGCAGCTATAGCGAACGGAAAAGTGCGGTAGGAAGAATAAGTACACAGAGAATATTGAAGATTTGTTAGAGAATGATTTTAAGCCGTGTCACTAGCCACTAGTTCTTATGGTCTCTATGACCCCAGCTGGGCATTTTGCATCTCCCTAAGTGGTTTGAATCAACAGTTAACAACTTCATGGATTGTTACTACGTTGTGATTTGATGATCCTTAACTCCTTTTCAACCTATTCATACACTGGCTAACACTGATTGACGATGAAGGGTATGGCTCATCACGTGTAACACGTATCGTAGCCATCTCAATCTGTGTAGCATCACAATCTTATCAATACACTTGCCTTCCTTACCTAACGTTTTACACATAACATCAACTTTACTCGTCATATAGTACCACTTAACACTGGAGATAGAAGGCAAACATCTGCGGTTAAAGACAGCCAGCCTCTTCATATCTTCCACTTCCAACGTGCTAATGCGACTTCCCATGTCTAGCTACTTCACTTCCCATCTTTAAATTAGGGGTCAGTGCAGACCATTCCTGTAGCATCAAAACTTATTAAAAAGTAAGTAAAATCAAGCATTTCTTAACTGATGATGGCTATACACTTTTTTCTTTGGTCCATTTTATTTTATAAGTTCCGAGTATGGGTTCACACTCCGTTTTAGCAACACAATTCTAATTATGAAGGATAAATAGTCTAAAGAATCTTCGAAGTGAGTAGGTTTAGTTAGTGTGGAAGCAATCATAGTCATTCTAAGCTTAGCTATAGTGTACCTACATCACTTATAGTGATTGAATGCTTGTCTTTTGCGAACTGATTGTCTCACTCAATACTTTTTTGTTTCAGTGTTTCGAATCAATTTAAAAGCAGCTATGACATTTCATTTATCGCTATTACCTCTATTAGTTGGGTAATTTTGTCTCTTTCTATCTTCGACCCGCTGCAAGATTGCTTCAATTAAACTAGGCTTTACCATTTCAGTATCAACCTGTTATTTTTCTTTTATCATTCTACATTCTTTTCTTTTTTTGAAAGCTTATACATTATTCATCTGGTCTTTCTCAAGTTTTTATATTTATAATCGTGGATGTACATCTCACTGCCAGGCTTGATGATGAATGTAGTTAGTACTAAATATGTCAAAAAATCTGGTGACGAAAAAAATGTCCGTTGTCAAATATCAAAGTTCAGAGAATATGAAGCAATATCCATTTTAACCCTGATCTGTAAATCTTTTCTGCTGCATATGCTTTTCTCGGACTCATGCTACCAGTAAAAGTTTTTGTTTTCATCACCATATTTGTCATTATGGATTATGTGTTGTTATTGTTTATTCTTTTGAGGTGTTTCAGCTTATTTACAGTACTTTCCTGCTTAATTGCTCGAGTTCAAATAAAATTAGGTTCAGGTTTGAATTCGGTGGCAGACTACCGATCTCCTTTTTTGGCGAAATGCATGAATGAATTACAACGTTGATATCAAAACAGATTTTAAGATGATATGTAATAAAACGTTAACAGCGCAAACTGAAATACACTAAGGCGATAATCATCTGCAAAACCAAGCGCCCCCTCCCCTATCTATGCGTGCAAATGCAGTTTATTCCTACCATCGGCTTACCTTGGTAATCCATATCCGATTGTATTACCAAGAGCAGTGTTAATTATTTTTATCTTATTCTTAAATGTCTTCTTATTTTGTATTTGAATTGGACTTTCCTTTTCCACATAAATTGATTCGACAATTAAATATTCAGATTTTAGGATTTGTGGGAGTTTTGGATTAATTTCAATTGTTGGATTTTCGTCAAAAACCAACATCATTTTGAAAGATCATTGAAAACCAACCAAGAGCACTGGACAGCTGTTTCTTCCTATTTCGGGGAGGGACTCTTCAGCACTGCGCACCCACGATCTCCTGGGACTTTCATGTTACGAGATCAAGCTCGTTGACCATACAACCAATTGGGGGGAAATTCAAAGACTATTGAATTCTAACTTTGTCAATTCATGATGTGACGCTGTTGTCACCGATACTTTCGATGAGCATCCACTTCACTTTGACATTGTGACGAGAATCTAATAATTGAAATTAATCCAAAATTCCAACAAATCCTATGATCTGGATATCAATCACCAAGTCACTGATGGCTACTGGATTGATTTCTTGAAGCTGCAGTGGGAAGCTGTGACCAGTTGTGTCCAACAAGTCAAGATGAATTGAATGTGCGCATCGAATGCATTAGTAAGAACAGCGCCATATCATGAGTTGACAAAGTTAGAATTCAGGTGTCATAGAATTCCATCCTAAGTGGCTGGAATGATCAACGAGCTTGGTCTCGTAACCTGAAGATTCTGTTTTCGATCCCTGGCTCTTATGGATACGTACTTCCGAAGAGTCCCAGACTGGGACGAAACAGTTGTCCAGTACTCAATGGTTCTCTAACTGAAGTCAGTTCGTAATCAATCTCGGAGTAGTACAATTGTCGACTTTTCAAATTTATGATGTGTTTTGTTGAGTTTTATTCCTATTTTGTATTATACAATCATTCTTTTATACGCACCAGCAATTAATAAAGGGTTTTCTTTCTCGTTCCATTCATCTTATATCCTTTATGTGTGATTGATGTTAATTATTTCTTCTAATGTGTATTGAATTTTAGATCTGGGAGTAGTTCACAACCGAGTATTTTGAATTCAAGTTCACTTAGTCGGGATACTGCAAATGATTTATCTTCAACAAATATTCCAAGTGCACAAGCTCAGTTACAGGCTCAATATTTAGCTCATCATTATTATGAACAACAACAACAACAACAAAATCAACAACATCATCACAAACAGCATTCCATGAATATCATTTCTAATACAGAAAACCACCAGCCGCAACAACAGCAATCGTCACAGTCGTTGTTGCTTAGCAGTGGTAATATTAATAATGATGCTATTAATCAACCGTTTCATAGAGGGCAACAACGTGAAACTGTTCTTACTCTTTATCCGTTTGTACGTAATCAAGTAGAGGAATTATCATTTAGTGCAAATGAAGTTTTAGAAGTCCTGGATAAACCTCCCGATGATCCAGATTGGTGGCGTTGTCGTAATAATCGTGGTGAAATTGGTTTAGTCCCCCAGAATTATGTACGTGTACTAACAACGCCATCGTTGGCTATTGCAACTGGTGGATCGAAAAAGCTATTTAGTTCAGATCATAAAGCATTATCATCATCACCCTGTCAAACTGATGTGAATTTTAATCATTCTTCCTTACGAAATGATCAATTATTGCCAACGGCGAATTCAAATTATCCATATACAAATAAATTACAATGCACAGATGGAGAAGCATTAAGATTAAGTTATGCTACACAGTCGAGTACAGGTCGTTTATATGCAGATCGCCCATGGTGTTGGGGTACTATTTCACGTGCTGATTGTGAAGAAATGCTGGGAAAATATTCTCTACCTGGGGAATTTATTGTTCGAGATAGTGAATCTCATGTAAGTTTTGCTTTTATTACAAGACGTTAGGCTTAATGTAGTTTAATGTCGCTGACACCATCACTGAACTGAATAGACTGGATTTAGAACATGAAAGTCTACACTGAGCTGTAGTGTTGGGTAACAGGATGTCGGATCTCTGAGTAGACAACAGTTCCTTGTAAGTTGCAAGCACACTTTACTGCCTGGTGTCACTAAGCATGATACCTAGATCCAGAGTTTCTTGCCAATTGCCTGGATGAGTTACCCAACGTGATGATCACATGGCGGGATTGACTGATAGGATTGAGTCATGCATGACTGAAACTAGTGACTAGACGCATGACATTAGTTTATACCCTAGTGATCAGTCAGTCTACATCTTAATCATAGCCAGTAATACTGTACATGTGCGAATGCTAAGCAAGAAGCCAAGCCTACTGTTAACTTTGCCCTCCAAATCTCGTTGGTTTTTTTAACACGTAACCTTACGGCTACATTATAATAATACAATATACAATATATCTCTGCATTGGAATGAGGAATTTCTTTTCATTAACTGATGTCTTTGTTTAAATAATTTTTACACTGTCTTTGTTTGGTTAGAAATGTCCTTAATAAATTTATTGTATAAGGATGTGCGTTTATTGACATAACTGTTGTTGATCTCATTGTAAACTATACTATAGAACTTCTTACCATTAAAGGTCAAGTGTAGCTGATACTATATAGTGTCTAATAGTCAGTTAGTTCGGCTAATAAATAATACATATGGTCAATTGTTGGCTATTGAACTATAGTTTTATTAACATCGTCAACACACACAATATATATTGTTAGTATAATTTTATATATATATATATATATATATGTCAGCTAGTGTTGAATATATTTCACATCCTTTAATATTTGGAAAATTCAGTTGTAGCGCAGAGAAAGTAAGTTTTAGTGGTTAAAGTGTTGCATGGCAATAATCACAGGAATTTCATCGTTCAGTATTCTAAACTAAGTACTCATAAGTATATTAAAATATGGTGTATTTTACAGTATTTGGTTTCAATCAAATGACTTGGTGGCAGTGAATCTCTTATCTTACTGATCTCATGTTATTGAAATGCCTGTAACGAAGATATGATGCTAAACATGTGGTAAGCATGAGAGATAATCTTTATAGGGTAATGTCAAAAAATTCAAGATTTTCTGGAGAAAAAGTACCAAGCAACCCATCATGGGGAAGTCATGCTATAGTTTTTTTCTTCATAACCGGCTTAGATTTGTGCGCATTGTTTGACAACAGAGAATGAATCAGTTGACAGTGTTAAATTGTAGTAGTACAAATTAACGAATGATCAAGAAATTCCATCGTTAATGGTAAAATCTGATTTGATTTAACCCATACCCTGACGCCAGTGTAACATCCTAGTACTTGCTAAATGCGGACTACACTTTACAGAATTGTTATTGATATTGCTATGTAGTATTTATTTGTTATTAAATCACAAGCTTAGCACATTGTGGGAGCCGAGAGATGCACCAAACAATATCTCATAGTTTATGCGATGGCTGAGATACTGCTCTCGGACGCTCAAACCGAAGCAGGTGGTTGCCTTAATGGGCCACCCTTCGAGCCTTTAACTTGGAGTCTAATCCGCAAGGCAGGGGAGCAGCGTCAGGAGGTTCATACTCCAGTTGATCCGACTGGATTCTGGAGTCCATTTACCCCATTGTAACTGCTTTTAGTCTAACCGCTATCCAAACAAACTTCCTGACATGGTATGACCTGCGGGAACGTGAGTCGCAGCCAGTTTAGTTTGTTGGGTAACTGAGGTATTCATGCCCGACCACCAGACAAGGTAACAGTTGTCGGTCAGTTACACTCTTTTTGAAACTACCACAGCTTTAAAAATAATGCATGTTAGATTATACTTGTAGTACTTAATGCTATCCGAAGTAAAGACAACTAAAAGGTGAACTAAATTAACTTACTTAGCTATGTATTCTTTATTATTTCCCTTGCAATATTGAAAGCATTTCCCTGAATTATTCTACTTTGGTTAAAGTTGAAAAAATAGAGCTTTAATAACTTGTATCAGTGTACAGTGTGGTTGGCAGATAATCGCAGACAGACAAGTGACGAAAGACTATTTAGCATCATAGTATAGTAGATGTATAGGATGAAAATTATTTCTTTCTACATTATAGTCTGCATAGTAATGCTTGTAGTTGCGGGTTGGTAAAGGGGTAGGGGATTATTAATTCCTTCTAAATAGTTATTGTCTTCATTGGGGGTTATTCTTCTTCTTATTGTTACTATGATTATCGTAATTATAATAAAAGGGATGTTCATACGTTCAGATTCCTGAATGTTTTGCATTAGTGAAAAGCGAAAGGAAAGTGTAAAATCTCAGTACATACCCTACACTACCCTATATATATATATATATATATATATATATATATATATATATATTATAGGGTAGATCGATAATTACGGAAGGAAAGAATCAGAATAAATTAATATATGAATGTGAATTGTCTGCTTTACATAAATGTGCTTAAATCTGCCTGTCTTCATACACACCTTCGGATTTGTGTTCATTTGTGTGTGTGTGTGTGTGCATGACCATGGGTACTAGACAATCCACAGTGAAGTAACTAACCCATTTCTTGGAGAAAATATTTGTGTACTATTTATTCAATGTTTTAACTTTTGGAAAATAAGATCAACAAGATAGTAAATGGATGGTGATATTAATACTTTCTAGTCTTCTACTACTACGGTATAATACATATGTGTGTGTGTGTGTGAAGAATATATGTATAATTTTGTTTTTTACATAATAACATTTATTAAAAGTTATGCAACTAGAAATTAATGATGAAACTATCTAGTAGTTGAAACGTACGTGAAAAAAAGTTGCGCCAGTAGGGTTGTTACCTGTTTAAAAAAAGATGTAGTCCGATTCAACCAGGAATGTGTGTGAATAGTGATAGTGTAGTTAGGTAGGCAGGTAGATGTTCCGAAATAGTGCTGGCTATAATCGTTTCATGTGTATTGATAACGACGGAATCAAACTGGATACAATTCTAAAATACGTGTTATAGACTTTTCAGTATTTGGAGCTAGTTTACAGTCAAGTTAGGAATGTTCTTATATTTGCGGCAGTTTGCTTCGTCCTTCTTTTACACAACTATCAGACATGGTTTTATTTCAAACCAGAGGATGTAGAATAATTAGCCGTTTTTGACCATGTGATAAGACTGGACCGTATTTCTCAATGAATAAAGAATAAAATAATGTTGTTTTTTAAATGATACTTCGCTGTCTAGTAGTACCATATTAGCTTTACTATGACAATCGCATTACATAAAGAAACGTCAGTAAAACATAATCGTCCTCTTTTTCTTTTTCATTCATTAGCGAATAGAAATTTCTAGTAGTAATAAATTTCAAGAAATTATCAAAAACCAATTCGTATTGATCGAAAGCCAAAGAAATATGATTAATAACAAGAAACCAGTGAAGTGAAACATACGCAGATATAAAGAACCACCCGAATTCTCGTTAGCTATCCTCCTTGATAGGTGGTATAATATAGTGTTAGGTAAGGAGGGGAAGTCAATCGATGAAGATGGCTAGGACATTTGTTTCTCATGTCTAGCCATCACTTTCCTCGACGGGCAATGTTAACTGCCATAGAATCAGGTTGAGAAAGGTCTACTGGTGGTCAAACCAAAACTTGGCATCCGTCCACAAAATCTTTGACAATTAGTTTGAGCCATTTAGGGAGGTGTAGGCTTCTTCATTGGGCTCCTAAGGGTGATAAGAAGCAGTGAATGGAGAAATTTAGTGATATGGCTCAAAAGCGTTTTGAATGGTGCAAATGCATTCACTCTTTGTGATTTACCATACCTAGTAAACCGCATTGTTTTCCCATGTTACTATTCTTTATCCCTCATATTTCTGCTCATTATCGTTCCTCTGAATCTCTTTTGTCTTCCTTTGTGTGCTACAAAGAGTGTGACGACTTGAACTGATGCACTTTTTTGCAAAGTCTTACGTTGAAACCGGGCAGTCAGTCAGTCAGCAGCTACCTGGGTGAACTGTGTAAATTGCAAATGACGAATTCGATGTAATGTATTACAGGTTCGCCCAATTAAGTTGACCAGAACTTGGCTGTCTGAGCTGAGTTAAACCGGGTTAATCGTTGATGGGGTCAGCCCCAAAAGAGCGAAGTGGACGTCCGTTGTTTAGATCATTTCGATCTGGCTAACAAACTACTACTACTGGTTGATGTGACTGCTGTACAACTACTCATATTGATCATTCAGTAGTTTTTGGGGACATAAAGAAGCTTTGTTTCTAGTGTAGATAAAAATATCTCCGTAGAAATTGTTTTTTATTCTGGAAAATATACTCCATTCACTTCCATAAAATAAAGTAGGACTGATGCCGAAAGCTCTGCTAACATAACCTCTAAAACTTGGAGAGCAACAAAACTATCCATGACAATGAACATTGTTTTAATACCTTTCCTCCCTATGTCGATATCTTTAAGTGTTCATGAATCTTCTGTTTATTTTAGAAGCTTACATGTTTGCAAAGAATTCCCAGTAATCATTTCCTTGCATTGTCAGTTAGAGAGGGTTTTTCGAATTACTAAAATATAAGAAAGGCACTGAGTCTGTTTTTTGCACAAGTAGAACAATCCTTGTAGAGGCGTAATAGTAATCGAGTAGTGATTCTAACACAACTAAATCAATTTTGTGTAATATCACACCTAAGCTTGTGTTAAAGTTAACGGTTTAGATTTAGAGGTTATCAAGTTAAAGTGTATTTTCTTTAAAATTCTCTTTATTTTTCTGATTGTTTGTTTGCCTTTGATTTGTAAGAAGTATCAGTTTATCGACACTTGTTTCCATGCTAACAGAGTGTGGCTCATGTTTTCCATTTAGATTTTTTGTCCTATTTCTATAAAACTTTCCTAGTGTTGTTGTCCAGCTACAATTGCCTTAGGTGTATCTTCTTCATTCCCTTGTGTCCCAAGTGGGGCATACGGCTCCAAGACATGAAGTTTCAATGTCGATGGCTTTGCCTTAACGGGTGGGATTGCTAGCCTCACACTGAACCGTCCCCTTTTTCTCCTAGCCCACATCCACCTAGGCGGTTTTTTAAGGGTGTGTCGACTGGGAATGAAAACCGAACCACTTACGTGGGTTGCGTGCATTCTACCATGGAACCACTCTCGCAAGAATATGGGACGCATCACTATTTTATGTGTCATCCTTGCTCAGTGACCATACTTATCTTCTCTGTATCGTTCCAATCTTAGTATCTGTACCACTGAAGCGAATGCAGTGGACTAGAAAATAATTCCGTACTGTTTAGAAATACGGCTTTGTGGTTGAAATACTTGAATTCTAACTAGTGGACTGCAGGCTGCAAAATCATCTCATTTATCTGAGCACTATGCCATGCGATAACAGTGTACCATGAACTATCACACCTGTGATAATCTGGCTCATAGCCCGTGGAATAAAAATATGTACCCAAAAATTCAATTGTGTTGAGAAATACAGTTCATGAAATTGTTTCATATAAATTAATCCATGCTGTTTGTTATGTGCTAATGATTGATTGATATGGTTAGCAAGCACTACTGGTTATTGTGTATTGTATTCATTCAACTACTCATGTCAACTAGTCAGTAGTATGCAGTATCATGTTAGTTATGGTGTCAAACAGATCGATCACATATTGTGATCTGAATAAGTTCGGTTTCCAAAGTAGTTTCATATGAATCTTTGTGTTGCACAGTGTGAGTCAAGTTATTCATGAATATGTATCACATAAATGACTTTGTTCAGATCCTATAATTGATTGTAATATCAATAGAGCTGGTACATTTCATACAGGTAAACGTTGTTTATTTAAAAAAAATCAATATCACTTAGTTTGTTTTAACGAAGCATTTTATTTGATCTTTTTTATTTATTTGTTTTTTATGCTTCAGCCGGGTGATTTGACTGTAACTATAAATGCTGGTAATAAGGCAAGAAACTTCAAAGTACACGTTGAAAACGGTCAATATCATATTGGTCAGAAAGTATTCGCCTGCATTGATGATCTTATTGAACATTATCGTACTCATCCAATATTTAAAAATGATCAAGAACAACATTATCTTACACGTCCGTTTGTTCATCCAGGCAGTACTACTTCATCTTCTAATACTGCTGGTGGTGGTGTTGGTGCTACCGCCTCTATGAATACTACTCCGACAAAAAGTAACGCTGTTATATCATCGGTAGCGTCAACTTGCTTCTCTCCAATCGGTGTTGGTGGCAGTAGCACTAATAGTACTAGTGCTGGAACGTATAATCAGTCTATTTCTGCTACACACAGTCGATTCTCTTAACAATAACAACAAAGAAATGTTTTGTTTCTTTTTTGTTTATTGTCCTATATATATTATTTTTGCTTCGCTTTCTATTAACCAATTATTTATTTATTTATTTAATTTTATTGTTTAATTTAATAAGAAAATGATTGCGAACAAAGGAATTCATTAGGCATCCATACCCTCAAACACTCACACACAAACACACATTACAGTATGACAGTAAACATATTTGTAGTCTTTCGTATATTTAAGCTAATTTTTACTCTTGTTTATTTGGAGGGGTTGGGTGAGGATAGCATGGTGATGAGAGTTGAGAAGTTCCTTGTGAAATTTCGTTTCGGCGTCTGGTGGCATGGTGAAAAGAGTGGTGCTCTTCAAATTCGCACATATACCGACCCCCCCTCCATCTTTTTTATATTTCACTTTAACCCTTTCCCTGCACCTCAGCTGAAACCTATTAAATAAAAGTATTATTACTATAACTCCGGTGGCTATTGGCTAGCTAAGCTATTGTTATTTACACTGTGTATTTTAAATGAAATTAATGCTGTTAGGATTATCACCTCTAGCATGTTAAACATCCATTTCATTCTTTCATTGTTTAAGTATTCATTTCTCCAAGGATGAAAGGGGATATTTTTATGCTCTTTCTTTATAGTTGAACAGAAGTACATTCATTCACCCACTCACTAACTCACACAAATACATACATACATATATACATACTGGATAATACGAAAGCAATTCAATCATCATTTTTCTTATTCATATAAACATCGAATAACTTTTGTATATTTTTTATTTGTTTGTTCATTCAGTCAGTTACTTTTACTGTTGAAAATAATATCTCCGTTTCTGTGACAAGTTTTAGTTTTTATTTTGTTTCTTCTCATAATTTATCTTCCATAATGATATATATATATATATATATATATATTAACACTTATTATCGTCGGTGGCACTGTTGCTACCGTTCTGATCTATTCAGTGTTATAGTGGCAGTGATGGGAGTCGTCGTTGTCGTAGTAGTAGTACTAGTGATAGTGATAGTAATTAGTGGCGCTAGTGGTAAACGTATTTTAAACAAACTATGTGTATTTTTAAGTTTTTCCTTTCTTCAAGTTTTGCGCAGAATTTTATGAAGTATGTTTTATAAATGTTGTTATTAGTAACTGATTTTTATTCAATGTTTTTTTTGTAAAGATTTCTTAATATTTATTTTCTGTTTACTCCCTTTTATTATCTACATATTCGAAGTGTGTGTTTTTTGTACAAGTTATATTGTTTACGTGTTCGTTCTCTTGTGCGTGTGTGGCATGATATGACTTTGTTTGTCAGTCGAATATATTATAAATCAGCTTTAAGTAGTATTATAAGTTGTTGTCCTTTTTCGTAACTTTCTTCCTTTCATTTCTTGTTTTGTTCAAAATAAGTGTATTCACTTTTAAATTATCATTATTATTATTATTTGTCATTTCGATAGAATATATCATTCTTTTTCACTATTATCTAACGACTTGTTCCAATGTCTGATCACTCACTGGGCTGACTAACAGTTGATTGTGCAAATACACAACACACACCGACATATACATGCGTGCAGAACTTGACTCGTCGATGATATGGCTAGAAATTCACTGTGGAGTGTAATTTTTCTGATTTCTCTCCCTCTTTCTCACCTTTATTCATTGACATTTCTCAAAAACTAAAAAAGTCACTGTAATCGTGCCTTTTCTTAGTGGTTGTTTCTTTTTTTTTTCGTTGTGTGTGTGTGTGCTGATTTCAGCTCTTTCTATTACAGAGAAACCTCTTTCTTCATTTGTGTATATGTTTGTGTGTGTGTGTGTTTTCACACCTGTCTTCGGTCAATATTCTCGACGTCTTTCTTGGACGATCTAATGAGGATTCAAGGGAAAATGCGAAGCTTATTCCTTGCATATGTTGACACGTCTATGTATAGTAATCTTCGTTGCGCTGCATAACATCGCCTGAATTCTTCTTTGTTTTATTAAACCTTCCATTGGATAATTACTGTACTTCTTTTTATGTGTTTTAGGCGCATTATCAGTTTTACCACTACCACTAATAATAGTAATCATAATAATATTAATGCAATAAATGAAACTTGTTAACTTAATCACTTTTACTATTTATTACCGATATATTTACTACTACTACTATTCATGATATTATTATTATTATGATTATTACTACTACCCTATTCAAAGAAGAAAATCTTTTGCTTCCAGTGCTTTTTTTAGTTATTTCCTGAAAAATTATCACGCACTTTTTGTCTGTTGTCAGGCTGTGAATTGTTGGTGCACAGACATTATTATGGTTATTTAGAAGACTAAGGGTCACCATCGAGGTAGTTTCTGTTTATCTCCAAAATTGTTATCCTCTGTTCTTGTATACAACAGGTGAAGTCTTTCTTTTCCTATTTGTCTGAATACATCGTTCAATATTGAGGAAAGATGATATAGGTGTGGTCTAATTATTTCACTTTGGAAATGGGACTTTGATACTCTGACAGAGTCTAATTCTATAATAGAATAGATATAGTACACAGTAATGTCGTATATGATTGAGTACAATTTCAGCGTAGTTTATTGCTCATAGCCGCATAGCTTCCATTAATTTTTATTGGATTAGTTTTTCATTCTCCTTTGGGGATTCAGGAGTGGGGTGCTCGATAATCATGTATGTGGTCTGGGATTCGGTTCCCGGCGGACGCACTGATGCACCTTACCTAGCTGTTAGTAAGATCGGTTAAAGAAGGGAAGGTTGAGTGTGAAGGCAGCAACCCCAACTCGTATAAAAAGACATCATAGCCACTGAAACTTTAAAGTTTGAAGCTTTGTATTCCACTCAGAATGCAAAGGAATGAAAGAAAGTGTTTCATTACTCTTATTAGATTTGATTCGGTGAAGAAATGATTCATTCATCAGCCAACTTCGCCTTGAAATCATCTGTATTTCATTTTAGACCTGTGACTCTGTCCCATACTCTTTTGTGATTGGGTGTCAATGGATACATTGCAGTAATTGAGTTATTCATTTTATGGGGTCTGTGTGTTTAGGATTCTTACTTAGCTGCCTAAACACTTAACTAAGTCTGTATCTACTCATATAGGTTGAGGTGATCTAAAGCCTGAACGTCTATCATTAATGCCACTTTTTTCATAGAAACCAGTAAAGAAGCTTACTTCTTCAGTTTTATTTTGTCATCCAACGTAGTTAATTCTCCTAGTTTATTTTCTTACTTAAAAACAAATTCGATTCCATGTTCAACAAAGTTTATATGTTTGAAGAAATTAGGAAAGTGTCTCATTTTCAACAGAGTCAAGGTGTCATTCACATATCTTCTGCGTACCTTTAGGGTAGATGTTTTATAGGGAATACGTATCCATGACGATACCTGTTATATCTGACGATACTGATGATCACAGTGCTACCTCTTCTATTCGTCTGTATATTTTCCGTATGAATTTGAGGTCAGTAAAGTTGAGACTACTGAGTTCCTAGAATGATCTGCTGTTTGAGTAACCTTATTCTTTGAGTGAATTCTTTTTCTAATATCGTTGAGAGCAATACTGGTTGGTATACTAGAATAGAGATTAGTTGCATTTAAACTGATCATTTCCTATTTAAATGTCGTTCAACCCCGTTTTCGTTTCATATGAATAATTAAGTTTGGAGTTGAGATGATTTCTGATGTTGAACTGTGCGACCATTTCAAACTTGCCCATTGGAAACATTGAAGACTGTCTTGGTATTTTTCCTGGAAGTGGACTCTGATCTATTCAAGTGAACTGTATTAAGTCTAAGCTTGCTAAAGCTTTTATTTCCATACTTTTGTCATTTTCTACATTTCTTTCTCTTCTATGATCCCATACGACCGTAATGCTACCCACCACAGATACAACAACTGATTATAGCCGTCTTGACTGTAGCAGGATATATAGATCTTGAGAGATTATGACTAGATTTGAATACATATATAACATCAACTGTTAGAACGTTTCTATTTTCAATTATTTTTGTATCATGCTTTAAGTTTGTCAGTTTTGAAAAGTGGATATCACCTTTTTGGAGGGTCATTGTAGGGTATAGGATAGAATAAGTGTTCTGATTTCGGAATCATCTACGGAACGTAAACTACAGGTGAGAATTAGGCATTTGAACTGATTTGGAGATAGTGAGCCTGAATGCACGGTTTACTCTACCAGTGAAAGTAAGAAGATCATCGCAAGGTTCCTTGGATAATTCGAAACAATTATGGGGGACTTTGAATAGTGGTGCGTTTTCTCCAAATATTTTCCGAAGAATTCGAATTGTGTTATCAAGTCGACATTACGAGTGCCTTTCGGTAAAATAAAATTTGCATACTTAGCATATTTATTAGATCCAAGTTTGTGAAGCAGAACACTAACTCTTACTGTACTGTTGTCCAGTTAGACCAGTTCCACTCTGAGTAAATCTTCAAACGAATCAAAAGTAATTTTAGCATCTGTGTCATAAAGTAAATTGCGTGACTGACTAAAGTCAGAACAGAATCGATTTTCTCAGTATAGGAATAATTGGATAACTGCAAGGATAATTTATCTGTAAGAACATTGTTTGAGATGCTTCAAATTTCTCCTGTTGCTGTTGTAAGAGTATCTGTACTTGTTCAAAACTGTAAAACACGACTTAATGCTGCGTGTTTCCAAAACGCTATAAGGCTAAATAATAATACTGGATTTGCTTTTGTTCTACGGTTACTCGATCACAATAATAATATACGGTTGATGATTACGCGTATACTATTCCTAAACTGACGAAAACACAGAAGACTGACTCAGAATACAAAGGCTTACTCCACCAAGGGAAAGACAATAATACCAGGAATTACAGATATAAGCATAAAACTTGGGCACTGTGGTAGAGTATAACTCCATTATGGATAGAATTTTATTTTGATAAAATCACTGTGTTACCCAGTAATATTTACTGCCGATGACATTTCGAGCACAAATTATTGCCACTCATAATCATATCAAGATACTCACATAACTTTCTTGCTTCGTTTATAAAAATGAGTAAAAATGGATGATTAGAAATTTGAATAAAATCATTATAAAATAAAATACATTCGGAAATAATATTAGTGTTTTCAATCAAATACAATAAGATGGGAAATAAGACGAGTGTTTTTATAGTCAAAATAAGTAACTTGTTAGAATGTCATAATGTATGTGAATTGAAATAGAATTTTAGGATTATTTATTATCATTCGCTGATTCGAGTGGTGGTATTAACATCTTCCATATCTCTGGTATTTGCGTTTAGTCACTTCTATTGCATGTGTTGGGTGTAGACTCGATGAACCAGGATTCAGTAATCAACCTCTCTCTCCACCTACTTATATTACTTCTTAGAATTTTAACCCTCTCCCACCCTACTGTGTGGTTGTGTGTTAATTCATGCAGTGCAATCGCTGAGCTTTTTTCTAAATTACTTATCTTCTCGGGGTCAACCATTCTTACCTTAGCTAAATTCTTATGTTCCGACAATCTGACTACCCCCGACCTACTAGTTTGACGTATGTAGTTGACCTCACAGTCATTGCAGGGTATTTCGTTTAATTGGGTCCACCGGGGCTTTTAGCCTACAGAGCTTGTCCCTACCTGAGTGAGTTTGTAGGTTTGAATGCCACCCTAATTCCTGCTTTATTAAGAATCCTACGTAGGGTCTCAGATGTCCCCTCCTTATATGGTATAACAGTGGATGACTTATATTCTCTCTTATTTATGTTATCACTACTAGTTTCACAATTATTTTTAGTTTGCTTTTGGCCTTTTTTAACATTCCTAATGAACTTTATAGGATAGTTATTCAACACCAACGCTTCTTCTATCCGTTTTATTTCATCGTTTAGGTCTTTTTTATGCTACAGCTAATTACTTAATTCACATGAGCAATAAATAATGAGTCTAAGATATGAAGACTATATTTTGACTAGATAGCACGCCCGAATAAGAATTCAATGACCTAACTTTTAATCTAGATTATGGTCAAATGTCTGGTCTACAGATCATGTTGGAATCACTGACTCATAACATGTCTCCGCCTGCCATGACACCTTCATTTTTTAAGTAGGTTTTTGATTATGGGACCACTTGAAGACAACTGATGGGTCGTCGTAAATCTATGAAATCATTAACTGGTAATCTGAGTAGAATATGTAGGTTATCTGTTTGAGATGCCCGTGATAATGGAAACCGATTATTATTATTATTGTTTCCTTTAATTCCTAGAAGAACATAGGGCTTCAGCCGTGCGTCTCCATTGTGTTCGGTTCTCTGCTAGAGTCTTCACCTGGCTCCAAGTCTGCCCACACGTTTTCATCTCCTCTTCACATGACCTCCTCCAAGTCACCCTTGGACGGCCAACTCGCCACTTCCCTTTCGGGTTCCAATCAAGGGCTTGTCTAGTGATGTCACTTGATGGTTTCCTCAGAGTATGGCCAATCCATCTCCATTTCCTTCCGCATATTTGTTTCACAATTGGTTCCTGGTTGGTTCACTCCCAGAGATCTCTGTTGCTGATCTTTTCTGGCCGGCCATCTGATCTTGAGTATTGAGCGAAGACAACTGTTAATGAAGGTCTGTAGTTTGTTTGAGGTGCTCTTTATCACGCGCCAAGTCTCTGATCCGTATAGTAGCACTGACTTCACATTGGAGTTGAAAATCCGAATCTTATTTTTGATGCTGAATGCTGTTGACCTCCACACAGACTTGAGAGTAGTGAAAGCTTGTCTTGCTTTTCCGATTCTTGCTTTGATATCCTCGTCAGTTCCGACTGTAGTTGAAACGATGCTTCCCAGGTAGGTAAAAGAGGTTGTTTCTTTCAGGTTCTTTCCATTTATGCTGATCGTTGTCTGTTGTTGTTGTTGCTGTTGGTGGTGTTGGCCAGGAATCTTCATCACCTCTGTTTTCTCTATGTTCACCTGAAGTCCTGTCTTTGATGCTTCTTCTGCTCACTTGTTACTTTTCACTTGCATGTCTTCCAGTTTGTAGGAAATCAGACATATATCATCGGCGAAGTCCAGATCCTCCAAGTTCCATTTTTGTGTGAGTCCATTTTATGCCTGTTTCCTCATTCCCCACTCTCTGTCGCATTATCCAGTCTACTGCAATTAGGAAAATCACTGGCGATAGTAGACAGCCTTGTCTTACTCCTGTCCTCACTTCGAAGGGTTCCGTAAGTTTCCCGTTGTGAATTACTTGGCATGCAGCATTGTCGTACAGCTGTTGGATGAGATGTATAATTGTCGGTGGCGCACCGACCGAAAGCTGCTACCTTGACGTGGTGGTCGGGCTTGAACACCGCAATGACCCAACAAGCTATACTGGCTGGAACTTATGTTCCTGCAGGTCCTACCATGCCAGAAAGGTTGTTTGGATAGCGATTAGACTAAAAGCAGTTACCCAATCCAATCCTAT